AACTACTACAAGAGCCAGTCCAGTCATTTCAGGGTTCGAGTCCAACCAGATCTGGCATCCAAGGGCCCCTTAAGTGTGTAAGCCTTTTTCCTGGCTCTGACTGGAGGCTTCGCAGAAACTTATCACCTAAGTCTGACAAAGCTTTAACTCCAACTTTTTGGGAACCTGGTGAACCTAGTATGAGATAAGCCCAGCCCCTAAACTTTCCTGAGGGTACTATACCAGGCCAGAGCCGACCTGCCCTCTGCCCAGCCTCCTGCCATCACTGGTCCTGCCTTGCTGACAGCTCAGTCAGACTCCTCACCTGCAGAAGTTGTGCGCGCCCAGTCCCCAGCGGCCCTGAGGATCACTGGCGCTGCTGTAGCTGTGCTGCTGCGTCTGGTCCCAGAAAAGACAAGGGCGTCCGGCCCCCCGGGGGCCGGTGTAGTTCTGGTGGCCGCGGTAATCAGCACCATTCACCTGGAAGCATTCGGACAGGCCTGCCCGGCGACCGTGGGATCTTGGAGAAGTCTGGATGCTCACTAGGCCTCCTCACTTCTCAACACCCAACTCCTGCCTGGTCCCACTCAGTATTCCCCAGTTCCCATCTCTGAGGGGACCTTCAGGCTGCTCAGCTGCTCCATCCACCTGCTCTCCCGCCTCCCCAGTTTTGAGGCCCCAGCCCTGGGCGCAGAAGAGTTTGGCCTGGCCGCTGTGCCTAACTCACCTGGATTGTGCAGGCTCCCGGCTGAGGCTCCGTGCGGCGGCAGCAGCATCGGGAAGAGGAAGAGGAGGCACTGCAGAGCCCATGTCCCCATCTTCCCTAACCAAAGAAATGTTGCCTGGGCCAGAACACGGCCTGGGAAGCCCCCTGGATCGCTCTAGGGTCTCCCAGGTGACCTAAGGGAGGGGGCGTTGTCCTCTGATCCTCTGTCCTGGTCTGTCTTTGGTGGGCGCTGCCCGTCTGTCTGGGACCAGGAAATATCTTCACAGGATCTCTGCCCAGCTGTCTCTCCTCAGGGGCTTCTGGGAGAGGTATGTGGCCAGAGGATGAGCTCAGGCTCGGCTTTCTAGCTCTCGGTTGCGCTTGGGCCCCCACAACCACCCCATCGAACTGTGCCTTGCACCCTGAATCTCCCTCTTCCAGGTCTCTAAAGCACTGCCTCCTGCCCCGCTTGTGTCCCTACTGGTCCCTCCCCCTCACCACCACCCCCCCGGGAAGACTAGAAACCCCGCCCGGGATTGGAGCGCAGACAGCAGGTCCAGACGCCTCCCACGCCTGTCCCCGAGACCCCCAGCGTCCCAACACATGTCTTCCCACCCCTTTTTCTCTTTCTTCCAGAGTCGGTGTGGGTTCTGTTGGGAGGGTATGGAGGGCGCCAAGCCAGTCAGCTTAACAGACCTCTAGAGGACCCTAAAAGGAGCATTACAGGACTCCCCCCACGGATGCACCGAGTCAAATGGACACTGATTGAAGTGCAGGAGAGCACTCCCATTCAACCCACTCATTGTAAACCGCTCACATGCACATCTTCTCCGAGTCTTCGCGCTCCTCTCTCCCCAGGTCCCGCTGCGGCTGGCTTGAGTAAAGAAGCGCCACTCCCTGCCCCTGATCGCGGGAGACAGGCAGGAATCGTGGACATTCAGCCCGCGACAGGCAGGGGCAGCTGGTGTCTGGGGAGGAAGGCAGCTGTGCCCCCCGTTCAAGCCCGCCCCCTCTCCCGCTTCCATTTCTTCCATTCCCTAGGACCCCAGCCCAGGCTCTCCGGAGCCTTGCCTGCCTTGGAATTCCCCCAGC